AACTACCTACTTTTGATCACTAAATTGTATTATCTATACCAGGAGTCTGCAAACTTTTTCAGCAGGAGACCGGTCCACTGTCCCTCAGATCTTGTGGGGGGGCGGACTATATATTTTTTTGGAGGGAGAACAAATTCCTATGCCCCACAAATAACCCAGAGATGCATTTTAAATAAAAGCACACATTCTATTCATGTAAAAACACGCTGATTCCCGGCCGGATTTATAAGGCGATTGGGCCGGATCCGGCCCTTGGGCCTTAGTTTGCCTACCCATGATCTATACCCAATGCACACCTTCATTCCTGCTCTCACTAGCACTTGTCTAGAAGTAATGCTTGTTCCATTAGACTTATCAGCACTAATTCTCTTCAGCCACACTAAACGAAAGCAGCAAATTAGCTCATTGGGATTGCTTTCTTTATCTGATGGAGAAATAAAAATCCTTTTCTCCACCAATATCAAATTTTACAAGGAATGGCTTTTGTTTTGTTTTGTTTTGTTTTTTGTTTTTCAAAACCCTAATACAATATGCTCTGAGATCCACACCTTTGCATTTGAAGTGTGGGGGGTGGGGAATGCTTGCCTTAAGAAGTGTTTCAAGACCTTCCTATCATCATAACATAATCGTGAACTGATTTTCTGTGTGTGTGTGTGGTTTTTATTGTATGGTTAATGTTGTAAACCACGGTGTTGTTGTTGTTGTTGTTGTTTTTGTTTAAACTGAATAATGGTATATAAATATTTTAAGAAATAAATAAAACTATAAATAAATAAATAAATAAATAAAACTATACTTGGGACAAAATCATGTTTTTGTTTTTACCATGAATGGGGAACCTATGGCCCTCCACTTCTTACTCTCTTCATATAAAACCATAGAATTGTAGAGTTGGAAGGGAGCCTGAGGATCATCTAGTCCAGCCCCCTGCAATGCAGGAATGAATATGCAGCTGTCCCATATGAGAATCGAACCTGCGACCTTGCCACTATCAACATCGTGCTCTAACCAACTGAGCTATCCAAGTTGCTGGAATACAACTCCCTAACCCTTTGCCATACTGGCTGGAACTGATGGGAGTTGGGAGTCTCACAGCATTTGGGGAGACCACAGTTTCCCCACCTCTGGTTTGAGGGACTGTTAATAACTTGTTGATCTCATTGCAGAACAGACCCTCCTGCCTGGATCCAAATGTTACTCATCCGCTGTCTTCAGCTATTTTTCTTTTTTTGTAAACAGTCTCCCAAAAGCCCATTAAAGATGCCTAATGTCTAGCTAAACTAGTAAAATTGTTTTCTGCGAGAGCAGTCAATACTATTCTGTCACTTCTGAGTATGCTTAACTACCATGCAGCTGCTAGCTGGCAGGCATCCCACTGAAAAAGCCAGACTAGATGAGATGCGATCTACGCAATTAGCATTTGCTGATCATTCGAGATTGTGTGAACAGATTCTAAAAGGAATTCTAACAAGGGCGTACAGGAAGCCTGAGCTTCATCAGAACCCTCGCACTTCAAAGAGAGTGTAGGTGGTGGTGGTTGTTTTACCTGGTTTTTATTTGGATCCCCCTCCTGCACACTTGCTATTGACATTAGAATATAAGCTGGGGTGGCTGCTCCTTGGTCACCCCCTGTTTATATCTGAGAATTTGGGGGTTCTCTATATGTGATGGAGAATAATACAAATACGCAGCAAGAACTCTTGATATTGGGCTTCCTGAGACAACTTCTTCCCTGAACTAAGTATAAATCAAAGCCGAGGCATGATAGAAACCAAAATTGTATTTTAATAATGAACACTCAGTGAGGGATAAAGCTTGCTAGTTTCACTATTAAGGGGCACAGTGCTTCTTTTATGTCAGAAACGCTGTTTCAGGTTTAGACGAAAAGTTTAGCTACAGTTCCCGACAACAGTTCTATTAGAACTGTTTCTTCCTCGAATGGCTGTCCGCTTGACTAAGCCTCTAGGTCCTTTCCCTTACCCTAAGGAAATTAAGCAGGTTTACTCTGCCTGACAAACCCCTCTTCCACACAATTAGAGGTGCAAGAGATGTCCTCTTTTTCACCTTAGCGCCAGATTCCTTCTCCCATAGCTCAGCTGCCAACTTTTGCTGACAGATAAAGAACAAACTTTCCTTGGTGATAGTTCCAAAGTTTGTAAAGTATTTTGTGTACGTCCAGCAGCTTTACTTTTTTTATTTTGTTGAAAAAGCACTTTTTTAAGCCTTATGCTTGGAAGTTCCATTTAGTTTGTCTGTTTTAATGCTTCTTCGATATACTGACTATAACATTTGTCTAGCCCCATATTCTTTATTGGACAGTTACTTATCCGTATCAAGGAGCTCTCACTGTCTGCCAAATCTTTAAAGCTTAAAAATCTTGTCTGGTTGGGGAGACTAACAAGTGTGGTATATTGCGGTATGCTTCAAAACACACACTTGTGTGGGTTGTTTTCTTTTCCAAAAGTACCTATAATTTAATTACCACTGATTTAGACTCAGAGGGACAAGTGTTGCAAAAAGAAATCAAGTGTGAAAATACTTGTTTGGTTCAAGCCCACATCATGGAGTGAGGGAATCAATGCACCAGCGACCTAAAAAACCATATTTGTTTTTAAAAAGAAACAGGTTTGCTGCTTCTTGTCCATCCCCTGCATTACTTACTCTCTTTTCATTTTATGAACCAATCAGACTACAAATCAGTGGAGGAAGTGAAAACTATTCACTGTTATTATCATCATTATTTTATTGGATTTCTTAAAATAAGAACGATACACATGTATTTTCTGGAAGGGTAGCCATGTCAGTCTGTTGCAGCAAAACCAACAGAGTCTTGTGGCACTTTTAATAATAATACATTTATTCATTCATAGGTAGGAAGGAAGGTAGGTAGGTAGGTAGGTAGGTAGATTCTCTTACAGTTTATCCTGCATCCAACCACATCAACAGCAAGCCAGGAATAAAAACAAATAGGGTTACCCCCACAATGTCATGTTTTAATAGGTAGTAACAGTTCTCAGTAGAGCAGAACACATTTTGCATTCTAAAATTGATCTCGAGTACTATGGGCTTCTCTTGGAAGATTGCTGCTTAGTATTTGATCTCTAATCTCACGTAGATTACTGGCCTGCAGCCTACTGATTCTCTGCTGCCAGGCATTCCTCTGTTAGAGCTAAATGATTAATTACTTGTCTCTTGCCATTGGCCCAATTGTTGTATAACTGATGCTCAGCTAGCTGACCAGAAGCCATGGTAAGCAATGCTTGGCATCTCATTCTGCCCAATTTTTTAACCCATAACCAGCAGTTGCTGCGTGCACAGCATGGAAAAATTTACATCAATTTCCAATTGCAACAAGCTATTTATAATACTAACTTGGCACAAGCATTTATTAAGTTCTAGATAATGAAAACAATGCTTCATTGCTTTTCTCTTCCCGGGTTCTATATTTAACATATATACACACATATTTGAAGACAAGAGCTTCCTTTGTAAGGGAAATAAAAGGTGCATTTTTAAAACAGTGAAAAGTCTACCCATGGCTGAGAACTGAAGGGAGAGAGGGTTTGCTTTGCTACAGTGGAGCTGCAAGACCGCAGAGTCAACTATATTGAGAGAAATAGTTCACAGTTCAGTGGTACAAAAATAATGGAAATTTTGGCCATGAAGAAACCTTTTAGGCTGCAATCCTATACACACTTACTTGGGAGTAAATCTCATTGAACTGAGTGGGGATTGCTTCTGAGTAGCTGTAACTCAGTTTTCCGATGCTGTTTTCCCTAATAGCATCACAGAGTCTTGTTATATTTTGGTTTTTAAAACCTTTATTATTGTGAGCCATTTTTATGAAGTTTCATGATCTCCTGTATCTGGTTTCAGTGCTGCTGGACAATGCTTTCCAACTGAATAATAAGCAGCTGGTCCTTATTTCTCAACTTGTTTCCCTGGATTCATCCATTTCACCGTTCTGGATAGCTTTCAGGTTTGGACAGCAGCTGCAGTTGGAGAACAATTCGCACACTTTCTTTCAACTTAACTTTAAATTTAAAGGCTGTGTGAAATATTTGCCCTGATCCTTGAAATTACTCTCATAGGGAAATTTGAAGAAATGGTGCAGTTTGGATTTCATAAACTCAGACCTTAACCCAAAGCACTTTCGTTTCCAAGTGGTGTTTGCTGGTTTGTCAGCTACAATCACATCATGGCATGTGTGATCTGAAAGGTTTGATTTATTTCCCTTGCGTCTCTTTCCTAACCTGCTGTCCAGCAATCTTTGGCTTGGGCCCTTCCACTCACAGAATGGACTTACCGTATTTTGCGCTCTATAAGACGCACTTTTCCCCTCCTAAAAAGTAAGGGGAAATGTGTGTGGTCAAGATGGTGACTGAGACAGCAGCCTAGTCAGAGCTCCCGCCTTCCGTTAAGCTTTCAAGTAGTTTTAGCCACTTCTTAATTCTAATTTTATATTTTTAACGTTTTACTGGCTGCCTCATCACCTCTCCTTGTTTTTAGTTTATTGTTTTATTGTTTTACTGCTCAACCTGAGAAAGACGCCGAGAAACAAGGAGCGGCTGAAACTGAAGGCAAGTTCTGCTTCATCTTATCCCCTGGCACAAGCCCTATTACTTTGCTGCAGTAAATCATTCTGATCTATTAGTCATTTATAACTCCTTTGAGGGCGACGAGGGTACTTGAGACAGTCTCGGTATTTCTGCTCGCAAATATAAGGGGGAAGACACCACAGGACAGAAGCGTTAAAAGCCCTAAAGCTGAGAACTAAAGACGGAAAAGGGAGTAGAAGGGAGTAGAAACCTAGAAGGCCCACCGAGATAAAGGACAAGCATGAAACCCTGCTTGTAAAACAACCCTCCCCACCTTTCGAAGGTGGGAAACTGGAAGATAAACATAATCTGTCTTGTGACCGAGCCAAGTGAAACCAAATAAAACCCCAGGACTAAGAGATTCCAGCAAACTGCTCCCAATTACCTTTTTCCACGCTCAACATGGTCCTTACAAGAAAGAACTATAAGGACCTGGGATTTGCACCAATATCACCTCAGGGGGAGTGGGAGCCCCGAAGGAAGCAGAGTAAAATCACCAATTATTTCCCCCATAAAGAAGGGAATAAGAATCTACAGCACGAGAGCACTCCAAAAGAAATTGCCCCTATTGTGCTGGATTGGTCAATACAACGCAAAGACTTACAAACTGAGCTTGAAAGACCAAATTATTCCATGAGCTGGGCGCAGGAACTGGACCTAGCTGAGAACGCCTTGATGACCATTTCCCCCAACCCCAATGACCTCGAGCATCAAAAATCAACTCAGAATCTCAGGGAAAACCAGCAAGACCCCCAGCCCACAGTGAATACCAACAGTATAGAAGAGAGGGGTGACCAGTTATACGATCAAATAGATCAGATACGCACAGACCTCTACAATATAAAAAACTTCCTAGCAGTAACAAATGGCCTACTCCTGACGCTTGTGGAGAATTTCAAACAAGCAAAAAGAGCCACAGATCAGCTCCTGGACTCAGATGCTAGAATCCACATACCACCCAAAAGAACTCACACAAAAGAAAAGCGGAACTCAAGACGAAGAAATCTAAAAACATCAAAACATCAAACCAAAAGGGAAACTTAGTCGACCCTAAGAAACCCCTCTTAAAGGGGAAGTGTCCCAGGAATAAAGAGAAGAAGCCTAAGAACGTAAAAATGGGAAGGAAGAAAAAGCTCCCATCCCGAACAAAGGAAACGAACCTCACAAGACTATTTAAGCTATTAGAGAATTCAAATTCAACGAGCCCAGCTAACCCAGTTCTGCCTCCCTTTGATAAAAGCCGAAGCCCAAGCTCAAATAAAAACCCCCATAAGGCTGGACTCTCCAATTCAACAGAGGAACTCCATAAGCCTGGGCTTCACAATATAACAGAGCAAGTAGCGCTCTCGAATGGATCCGCGAGAAATTCAAGGGAAAACCCGATCCCTAAGCAAGAAACTCCTTCTAAAACAATATACTCTCGCAGAAACCTAATTCTAAACAAACAAAAACTTATCCTCTTACCCATATACATGCACAAAGATCTCCTTTCCCCAGCACAACAGAGAATCTATATTCTCAAGAAAACTGAATTAGCCGTTAGAGGGTTCGTCCCAGCAGAAAACATCATCAATGTTAAATTTCTGCCATCAGACAAGGACCTAAACAGAGTTGTGGTAACATTCAGAGACTGGCACACAACCAAACTAGTTTCAGACAATAAGGACAAGCTGCAAAGGGTTGGATTGCAGGTGACTCACCTATTCGAAGAGTCCGGAACTCCCACTCCTCTCATCGAAACAATCAGGACTGATAAGCTAAAAACAAAGCCGACAAAGTCTACGATGGACGAGAACTGTAAGATGCTTCAACTAGAGGCAGATAAAGCCCCAAACCAGCTGGCTAAAAGACCAAAACCACTATCCCCAAATCATGTATCAGGAAATCACGAAAGCTCCAGCACAGAGAAGGAAAACCACTTCATAGCAACTATTGAACAAATACATAAAGCTCAGGACGCACTAATTGAAAGATTAGCATCTATAAGGAAATCTATTACCCTCCTAGCCACACCTGTCACCAGGGAATTTAACTATGCAACTTATACCACAAAACCTTTATCCAACAGTGAGTGGACACTACGGCTATTCCTATCGCCAGAGGAACTGGGACCTACGGAACCACCCATAACAAAGAAAACAATAACACATCAAGCTGAAATAGCGGTTCCACTAGGCAAGAACGGTTCAATCTTTGTGGACAACCTAGGAACCTTAGATACCATTCACACGGATGACTGAAATAAGGACACGGGGGAAGGACGCTCCTCCGGGACACTAAAATATGTCCAAGTACACACCGTGCCAAAATGTCCTATTATACACCCCAAAAGGGACATAATGAACGACAAATCTCAAACTGGCCATAAACCTAGGTTAGATTGTCCCTCGAGATGTCTGCCAATCAAAAAACATAAGTTGGCCATCTGTACGTGGAACATTGCAGGGTGGGGAGCTAAAAGTAAAGATCCCAATCTAATGGACTTCCTCACTAAATTTGACATCCTGTTCATCCAGGAAACCCGGTCGACAGACGAGCTCTACTTGGATAATTACCACTCGTGTACAAAAAGAGCTACACCTAGCCAAAGAGGGGGCAGACCCAAAGGAGGCTTAGCCTTACTGTTTTCAATGCAGATACAAGCTAATATTACCCAATTACCCTCCAATGATGAATGGTCTGTAGCAGCAGTATTAGATTTTGGACAAGTCAAACTGCTATGCATAAACTTATACTTACCCACATGCCGACGGCAGACACAAGTAGAACAACTATGGAAAGAAGTGGAAGCCTACGTGGTGCAATGGAGGAGACAACATCCGTCAGCCATGATATTACTAGCCGGTGACTTAAACGCAAGAGTGGGCCCCAACAACAACGCCCTATACACACATTTTCACCACTGGCCTCCAGAAACGGAAATTATCCCTCCCCTAATGACAAGATCATCCTACGATAAGACATGCAACATGGGAGGACTACATCTAGCACAGATGGCCTACAGACAGAACCTACACCTATTGAATGGGGCTATACAAGGAGATTATCCCGGTCAATATACATATTGGTCAGGACATAAATTGTCAGTGATAGACTATTGCATTGTTTCCCAGGATCTGATCCCTAGGATATCAAAATTCACCATTACAGCAAGAGCTGAAAGTGACCACCTATCTTTATCCCTCGTGTGTGATCTACCCTTTGATCTGCCCAAACCACAACACAGATATCAACCAGAGTTAACACCCGGAACAGGTTTCAAGAAAATCAGATGGAATGGACAAGTGAGCGAGCGGATATCTAACTGGTACAAATCTGAGGAGAGCTACCGTCTCTCAAAAGCAATCATGGAAGGGTGCCTAGAAACAGAGGAGAGCGCCCCGAACATGATGACAACATATAAGATGCTTACACAAAAAATTCAAGAGTTTGTTGTAAAACCGAATTCCAAGTCTCCCTACCATAGGAAAACTTCCAGGGAGTGGTTCGATCATGAGTGCATAGCCTCCAGGAAATCATTGATCCACTCCTTCATCTGTCATAAGGATAACCCAACAGAGGATAACAGACAAAAGATGCTTGAAGTCAAAAGAAGTTACAAAAAACTCCTGACACAAAAGAAAAGGTACGCAATGAAGTTATTATGGCAGCAACTGATAGAGGCCTCTAATTCCAGTAACCCATCATTATTCTGGAGAATCGTTGCTGTACAACCGGACAGGGGTCTATCACAACTATCCTGCTGCATATCAATGAAAGCCTGGGAAACACACTTCCATAATCTTTACGAGGAATCTAGCGATGAGTCCTATGCATTAGACATACCGGAAGACCAGATACAGCCATGGCCAGCAGTTTCAATAACAGAGACTCATCTGCTGATTGACCAACTAAAGAACGGGAATTGACTGTATACCAGCGGAACTTTTTAAAACCAACGCGATCTGGTGGGCCCCCCTGTTAGCCTCCCTGTTCACATATATAGACAGAACTGCACAGATTCCATACGACTGGGGGACTTCCATCATTATTCCCATTTACAAAAAAGGCCTGAGAGATGATCCCTCCAACTACAGACCTATAAGCCTCCTGAATATAATAAGCAAATTATATGCTAAACACCTCAGCAAGAAACTGTGCGAATGGATTGAAAGAGCGAAGATTCTTGATGATGCACAGGCGGGATTTAGAAAGGGGAGATCCACAATGGATCACTGCTTGATCTTACAGCACCTAGCTGAGAAATACACGCTGCATCATAATCACCACCTATTCACAGCATTTGTAGATTTTAAAGCAGCCTTTGACTCCATCTCAAGACCCCGACTCTGGGACAAACTCAACAAATCATCCATAGACCAACGTCTCCTGCTATTAATATCCAAACTGTACAACAACACACGACTTCGTATAAGATGTAGCCAAGAAGGTCAACTCTCTAATTCCATTAGAACAACAAAGGGAGTTAAACAAGGATGCATCTTGGCCCCCTTTTTGTTCAACATCTATATAAACTCCCTAACAGACCACCTACAAGGAGCGGATACACACGCCCCAAAATTAGCAGACAAACAACTGCCTATCCTACTCTATGCAGACGATGCGGTTATACTGTCCCAGACTCAGAAGGGCCTTAAAAGAGCTCTTAACAGCTTATCCCAATATTGTAGAGAAGAGAAACTAGTAGTGAACTACCAAAAAACAAAAATCATGGTTTTCTCTAACAAAAGGAAAATATATAGATGGAAATTAGACAATCAGGAGATTGAACAAGTGACATGCTTTAAATACCTAGGAGTTATATTCCAAGCATCAAGGAAGAAGACTGCCCACATAAATTAGAGTTCCTCTACAGCACAAAAAAGTACAACAGCAATTCTAAGATACCACCGTACAATGGGAGGAAATTTTATTCCTGCCACAATTAAACTATTTGCTGCAAAACCAACAGCACAAATACTATACGGCGCACCACTCGTCTCCCTCTCCAATCTAGACCCATACGAAAAGATACAATCAGGTTTCCTTAGATCACTCCTGCAAACACCTAAATGCGTCCCAAACGCCGCCCTACGACTGGAAGCGGGCTTATACAGCATCAAAACCAAAGTATGGATAAGAACCTTATGCACTTGGCTAAGACTTAACAACTCGCCGGTTGGACTACTTTCCCTGATGCTTCTTGACAAATTCCAATCTAGCTGGTTGAAGGGCACTCTCAGAAAATTGGCCACATATGGTCTCTCCCCAGAGTATTTATTAAGTTTAGAAAGGGGAAGACTCAGGGACATTGAAGCTCAAAATGACTTTAGTCAACTTCCGATAACTTATAAACTCCTATTCTATTCCCAAAGCCCCCATCTAGCAAACTATCTCAAAGTTCTACATAATGCTAAACACCGATGGGCATTTACCAGGGCCCGCTTTAACACTCTCCCTTCAGCTCTTCTAGAGGGAAGATACAACAAAATACCGATCGAACAAAGATTATGTCCCTGTAACAGCAACGAAATTGAAACCATCGGGCATGTCATCTTATATTGCCCATTATATCGAGACTCAAGAAAAGAGCTGATCGAGCCGATTCTGAGGAAAATACCGCGTAGTACAGACGACACCTATATCAGACACCTCTTAGCTGACAAAGACCCCGAAATCAACAGGCCTGTGGCGAAGTACTGTTACATTGCAACAAGAATAAGACGAGCAATGATGACAGCAACGGAGTTCAAATTGCAAACATCGAAGGAACGATAATAAACAGTAGTGACATTTGAATTGAATCCTTAAAACCTTAAAAGTCGAAACCTGGTCATAAACATAAGTACCAATTTTGTGATTTGGCCATATCTCCACTGTTATCTGTAGTACAATAGTACTTATATTGTCATATTTTATTTTATAAATTGCTTGCTGGTCATTGACCGTATTAAAGATATTTGAATTTTGGAGCAAATGCAGGCTGCGAGGCTATCCCAGAAGCCAGAACAGTGAGAGGGAGCGCTGCACAGAGCTCCCTCTCGCTCTTCTAGCTTCTGCCTTAGTGGCGCGAAGCCTCCACAGGGCAGTGGGGAGCCTTCATCCTGCTCCCCTGCGGAGGCTTCGCGCGCCTATCCCTGGCTTTTGTGGGAGGTGGGGGAAGGGACAGAGCGTGCGGCTCTGTCCCTTCCCCCACCTAAGCCCCCAAGATCCACGCTCCCTTCAAAGAGCGCACGACTCTTGTGGGAGGTGGGGGGAAAGCCAGGAGGCTTGCTTTCACTGAAGCCAGGAGGGCAAGAGGGATCAGTGCACACCGATCCCGCTTGTTCTCCTGGCTTCAGGTATTGGCCCGCAAAGCCTCCTGAGCAAAGAGGGAGGAGCGCTCCCTCTTCACTCAGGAAGCTTTGCGTTGCTTTCTTATTTCTTGTTTTCCTCCCCTAGGTGCGTCTTATGGTCCAGTGCGTCTAATAGAGCGAAAAATATGGTAAATCCAGTGGAGGTTGCTGCTGGTATAGAAGGGAGAGAAAGATAAGGTTTTCTGATTTCCCATGCAACCCCAGACACCACTTCCTTGGCTGTTTTACAGAGTTTTCCAACCTTCTGGAGCAGAATTTCAGGGCAGAGTAGGCTATTGAGACAAAGAGGAGCCCTGTTTAGGGAAGCTTTTAATGTTTGATGCGCTATTGTGTTTTAATATTTTGCTGGAAGCTGCCCGGAGTGGCTGGGGAAACCCAGCCAGATGGGCAGGGGTATAAATAAATTATTATCATCATCATCAAAAATTGTTATCTACTTCTGTCTGCCGGTGAGAGTTCTGTTCATGTGACCTTTTGTGTGCAAAACATCTTACAGCCCTTCTTCAGGAGAATAACATCATCTTGATTAACCATTTAAAATATAGCATTTCAACAAGATTTCATAAAGCAGAATTTCTCCTTGTCTTAGCAGCTATAATGGCTATTTGCTCCTTTTCCAGCTGTGGCCCCTCACGGATCGTCCGCCATCCCCAACAGCTGGGATGCACAGGCTTGGACAACTGTTGAGAATCTATCAAACCAACCGCATTGCAGGGTGGTATTTACCCCAAAATTCTCTAATCTAAATGGGCCAATCAGGAGCCCACTAGTGGGTGGAGCCTCACTGGCAGACCACGATCTGGATACTTCCCCTCTGGTCCACCAGCAACGCATAGCTATAGTCACTGCACAGAAAGGGTGGCACTATGACTGGAACTGCGACTTGGTCTCTGAAAATGCTTTTTGTGTGTGTGTGGAGTTTTTTGTGTGTCAACATTGATTCTTGGGTGAAGCAAGGGGGGGGGACTGTTCATGAATGTGCATTTCCTGTGCATTCATGGTTTCTTTTCTAAATGGAAATGTGGAGCTGCTGCAGCTCTTCAAAAATACACCGAAATCAAGTGAATAAAGTATGGGGAAAACAGAATGTAAATAGTCTCTATGGAAAATTGAATTTGGCCAAAGGGAAGCTACAAAAAGAGATCGGGTTTTGTTTTTTTAGGAGGTAAAAAGCACTTTGTTATGCTGGTGCAACAGTGATGAACTGTTTGACAGGCTTGGAAGGGGAATGTGCCTGGCTGTTTCAAGCCCCTCGACCTGCAGCAACATGGAATCATTCACCGGAACAGTCGCTTGCTCTAAAAAGAGTATAAAGATGGATAATCACAGGCGGCCAAGATGGATGGGTGCCTGCCTATCTCTTTGCTTCCTTCCAACAGCACTAGCTTCCAGGACTGGCATGGCAGGAAAGAGAGGAGACTTTTAAGGTAGAACAGATTATTATTGGGAAGCGGGGGGGATTACCCCACTTTTTCTAAGAGACCTGAAGAAGCTTACTATCTGGAAAAACCCTTCCATTCCCATCTGCAATAAAGCATTGTAAACCCAATCTTCAGTAAAATGTACAACGTAAGAGAAACCTATTATTTTAAAAGTGTACGTGGCAATGCATTTTAAGAGCATGTAAAATACATTGTAATGTAGTTCAAGACAACTACATTTAGGCTTTGATAAGCCTCTTTGATAAGCCTCTTTGGAAGAACAAGGAGATCACCAGAGATCTACCTTTCATTTCTTTTTGTTTTCTCTTGCAGTTCTCAGCATATTTTTCATATAAAGTATTCACTTTGTGCAAAATGCCCCCGTCACTGTCATTCCTATCACCAAAGTACAATCTTGTGTGATCCTAGTTCAGACCTAGTGCAACCGTTATGTCATCAGGACCCTGCCAGCCGCTATTTTCACCAGCAGCAACTAACTCAGGACACATAAATATTTAGACAAAGTAATATCAAATGATAATAGTCTCATCCCAATTGAGGAAATGCAGGATGCGCCTGCCTAAAAATAGGCAAACCACCCATTTCACATGACCAATTGTCATTATGACAAGAGGGTGGATTCCATTTACATAGAAGGAAACCCCAACTGCAGTTGTTATTTTTTTAAAAAACCACACACACACACAACCAGATAAAAATGGGGAAATAGTGGGCTCAATCTATGCAAAATTGTCTGCAAACATATTGTCACAGAGATTGGTCAGTATGATCCCCAAATATATATGTACATATCAGGTAGGATTTATTTGAAAAAGAAAATCAGATCCCTTCTGAGGAATATTAAATGTCACAAACCAAGGAAGGGGGTAAAATGATAGTGATTGTCTTATTAGACACTTGTAAAGCATTTGATAATTTTACCTGTCCTTTTCCTTTTAGAGTATATACAAATATGAACTCATTTTATTTACTTGTTGCCTCCCTCCTTCCTCTCTATGTCCATCTTTCTTCACATACACACCCCAACACCACCATTTTGTCTCTTCTTTCTCCATTTTGTTTATTTGCCCATTTATCTCTTAGTGGCATATGTGGTGGTGAAAACGGTTCAAGGCTGGCCCAGGACATTTT